AAGCGGAAACCGGAAGAGTCTGTAAGATCGCTACGTAAACTTGTGTTAATTTGAAGGCAGATAAGCATTTTTCTCAATTCATTAATGACAATCTGAGCGTGACGGGCGGAGGGAATACAATACAGTGTCATTCTCCTGCCCTCAAGGTCTTGGTTCGGGCCTGAGGTCTCCCCAGTAGCCCCATCTGTGAGTCGGGTACCATGCTTTATACATGAAGAAGCAAGGGCGGTCGAGTACTGTGCCGGCCTCACTGCCTCCTCGTGTACAGATGCTTAGTATTCAGTGAATGTATCCGTCCTGTCCCTAACAAGCCGAACTCTCAGGCCTTTGGGACTCTCACAAAGTTCTTACCAACACAGCCGTTTGGGGGACATGAATAGGTGTTACAGAGAACTGTTTATTACCTTCATTGAGCAGCACTTGATAAAATGTTCCTCATCCTCGAAACATTGTCAGTTTGATAAAGAAAGGCGACATTGGGATGACTAAACAGATCCAAAAGGCTTTATCTTGGGATGAAGGACCAATATGGTAGGAGAAGCTCACGGTGTAAATAATGCCACATCATCTTACTGCACCAGCCTTTGAGTGAATGGAGAGCTATAATGACTACGCCTCATTTAATATCAGACTGTACCGTCTCAAGCCTTCACCAGCGAGATGTTTTTGGCTGCAGTGTGTGTGTGTGAGATGGTTATATATCCTCTAAACTCGAGGTATACAAGCCTCCCTTTTATTAGGGTTTCCACCATAACGACAGACATCGTACAATAAAGTTTTATGGAGGAGTTAATTAGGATCCTTTGGGTGTGCGGTACTCAAGCCACCGCCATCACGTCATCATCTCTAAAGAATCCTTGTGTTGCTCCTTGGTGCATGTCAGTAATCTACGAGGACGTCTTAAATACTAAGCTACAGAGAATAAAGTAATATTTATCTTTTTCATGAATATATATATATATATATATTTTTTTCTTTTACATTGACACCAGAACCAATAATTAGTTTATTCACATTTTGGAATATTTGTTCATGTTGTGTTTTGCTTTTGGTTGTCCTGTGTGAGTAGTGGCTCTCCTCAGTTTAGTCACGTCAGTCTAGAGAGGTAACCTTTATGTTATCACTTTTCACTGATAATACTCGATGTGTATTCTTGATAAATAACTCGCTATGTTTAAGTCACATAATTATATTCTCACTTCAGACCCATTACCAGTAGTTAGCCCCCTCTCACTACTTAACCCTTCTAAAAATATGTTTGACACCTTGACTTGACTCAGTGGGATTATCTTTGAATTTTATTTTCTCTACTTGTTTCGATCGCCTTGTACAGGTGATCACGGCAGGTGTGGAGGTACACCCACTAAAAAATTATTCCGCACCCTTGGCTCTGATACACCCCCCGCAACGATCACTGGTACAGAAGCCGTGATTACGTGGTATGGTTGGTACCCCTGTCTTTCTCTCTCTCTCTCTCTCTCTCTGTATGTGTGTGCGTGTGAAAGTAATATGATGGTTTCTGTAGCCACGTGTAGTATTTAACGGATAATAAACGGGAATACATAACGTGTTAGTACGAAAGTCTCTAAACGGCATAGCATTACCCCACTGTAATATAATAGTCAAACCCACAATCTGTATCAATGTGTGCATGGCAACCAACGAATCGGGGTGACATTTATGGATTTCTTACATTGAGAGAGGCAACGACTTAAACCCACATCATTACAAAGTGTAGATGATGGAAAGTATGTAAACGATCTGTAATATAAGACCACGTGCATAAAGAACACAGAATATTTGTGTATCGTAGTGGTGATATAACATTAAGCGCAGTGCTGACATGATTATGAAGTAAGGAATGGGTCACGAAACGAGGTATGATATTTCTTTAGTCTGCCAAACATGATAAGATTAGTAGGTCCACCAGGGGGGGGGGGGTGATTCGTAGTGAAATTCATGTGAGACAAACATTGTTAGTGTTAGCGTAGACTTTTGCCACAGTAGGTTCGTTATCTGAATACAATGTATTGAATATGTTGGAAACGAAACTGGTTCAACCTACATTGATTTGAGCTTCGGAGCGAACAGTAGGAATCGTAATGTTTATTTTGAATCATAACTATGTCCGACGAGATGAAAACCTCGGAGAAGACACGCGCAGCAATCATTGCACTACACGGTGTGGGCCTCAGCAATGGTGAAATTGCTAGGCGGGTTGGCGTGTCCAAGCACACCGTAGCCCAGTGGATGCAGTGTCGAAACTGGGGAGCGGGCAGGCCTCGGTGCACAACTCAGCAGGCCAGGGAAACCAACCATACACAGTACCTCAGGAGTTTTTAAAAAATTCTCGTGTGGTTTGTCATATTGTATCACGCCGTAAGGGTGCCGAATAATTTTTTATTGGGCGTACACATTCCATTCTCACTCTCCAACTCTCGGTCCTCTCACTGGCCAGCCGTAGGTTTGGATTTACTTCGAAGCAGAAACTATACACAGGCTGTGGTAAGACTGACTTTGAGTATAGCCCATCACCTGTCTGCACTGCCTCTAACACAGTTGTTTTCATAATTTTTTTCGGCGTTTGTGGGTTTCTCTTTACCACTACGAGTCTGTCAGTTGTTGTTGTTATCATTCTTTATAGTTACCCAGAGGCACCACATAGGCTTCATCACTGTTATAGCTGTCATCCATTATACACAGCCAGGACCATTAGACAGTTTCTTCGGTGTTTATTAAGTTATTTAGCGATCATCCTTTAGACAGACCCCGAAGTATTAGACAGATTTATTACTACAATAAACAACTTCGTGGGAACATTGTACAAACAGCGACATTTTTTTTCTTTAATTTCGAAAGCTCTTAAGGGGATTTCACCAGATCACCTGAAGATAAGCCTCCCAGTTTATTTCACTAGATGCTTAAACACCCTGATCTACCTAAGATGGTTATATTATTGTTAGCTTAGGTTAGGTTAGGTTAGGTTATTGTTCGCTTAGGTTAGAATTAGGTTGGTTTACTCTTAAGGTGAAGTAAGCTGGGGGCTAATCTTCAGGTGGTACAGTCCTCATGACCTAATGCTGTCACTCTCCATCAACAGTTGTGAAACGCAAGGTCTGGACTAGTGCCAAGAGACACTTGATAAAACAGGTCGTTAACTCTTCTTCTGTTCTGGTGTAATATCTTGGACACACACACACACACACACACACACACACACACACACACACACACACACACACACACACACACACACACACACACACACACACACACACACAGTCACCACCTGATAACAACTTCACACCCTTCCCCCTTACACATATCTCCCTAATACTCTGATTCAATTTGACCGAATTAAGAGCGAGATCCTGTGTATAAGCCATTGGTGTCTCGTTTTATCCGTTTCTAATTAACTCTGGCTAGGGGACGGCGTGGCAGTCAACCTTGTAGACAGTACTGAAGAACAGGCAGTTAAAAATGACGTCTTGGAGGAGGACTGACAGTAAAATCTTTCAACTTGTGAGAAATATTGAGGAACTGACAGTCATAAGTACTTCTTGGGAGGACTATTAAACCAGTGACAGTAAATCTCTCTCTCTCTCTCTCTCTCTCTCTCTCTCTCTCTCTCTCTCTCTCTCTCTCTCTCTCTCAGCCAAGATAACACTATTAAACTAAGCCTCAATCTCATTTTTCTCTCACTCTCTTTCTCTCCATCACACCTCAGAAGCCAGGGGACGCTAAGACACCTCAACACTGCTTGACTGAGGAGTAAATGCCTATAGAAGGTGACGTTGTTGATGTTATAATGTACGAGTACAAATATGCTGTAATAACTGTGGTTTCTGTGTGCAGGTTCTAGGTTAGCACATAACAGTAGTGATGTAACTTTGTGATGGTGGAGCCGATGATAATGGTGATGACTTAATGATAGTATTGATGAGGTGATGACGTGGTGGTGATGGTGGTGGTATGAGTGCAGGAGTAGGTTCTTGTTTTAACACCTGGCCATTTCTTGTAATAGTTCGTCCCTCTGTTTCCAATTTGTGATCATACGTCAATATGGTGACCAGAAGTGTTTTTTTTTTAATTATAGTTGGGGCACTAACAAAAATAAAGTAAAATTAGATAAAAGATTGGAAAACATATATATTCACATGGAAAGTACCTTTAAAGTACTGTCCTGTATTATAATCAAAAAATTTAATTGAAGATAAACTTTAAACACCATATTGACAAGCGCCTTTCAATTCATGCTAACACACTATGACATAAAGTCAACAAAAATTTGTCAACTATCCTCATTGGCTTGTGGAGTTTTGTGTCCAGCTCTTGAAGGTGTCCGCTGTGGGCACACTGGACAGCTGGCGTGAAGTAATTTATTATTGGGATGAACAAAAGAAAATAAATATTGAGATGATTTGCTGATATGAGTTCTTGCATGACCAGTATTATAATACACCATTAACCAGTACTGACTTGGTCACTGTAAGACAGATCTACAGTGAAGTATTTTCCCTTTCATTTTACCTGCTAAATCCTTATGTCGTATTTTCTATATTTCTCAATGAACTTTTTTCTCTGTTACGTTTATTCTTTTCACTCAACATCCAGGTCTCGTGAAACCACTCCGCTGTTCCGTTTCTTCTCTTCCAGTATTCCTCTCTTTGTCGCTTTCAATTTTGTAATGTTGTTCTTAAAGTGCCATCCAGTACAGCATAATTATGAACAACCATTTGTGCTTTTGATTTCAGTACCGTATTTTTATATTATTTTGCTCGCATAATTAGACCATGTCTCGCTTTGTTAACTTTTCTTGTTCATACAAGACAGTTTTTATGTTAATTCAGACCTGCGCGCGCACACACACACACACACACACACACACACACACACACACACACACACACACATACACACACACACACACACACACACACACACACATTAAACGTGAACTCATTCTTACTTAATTGTAATGAGGAAAGAGAAAACACGTGTTATCCAGCCTGAGAAAATTTATTGTGATAACTAATTGGGAGAGAGAGAACAGTGTACGGTGCAGCCTACAAGAGTGAGCAGCAGCGTGCAGCTGAATGTAGCAGCCGACACAGCCTTCTACACCTGCCGCGGGAGATAGTGTGAAGCTTCCTTCAGAGGAAGTGTCACACCGTAACTCCTGAAGCAGGGTGTGAAGTATGGCACCTGCTACACGTGTACACGACATCAACAGGAAACATCTTTAAAGGACACTGGATGGCTTATGTTTGACTGTACATAATACAACGTCCCATTACCTGCATGATACCGTGGAGAGCCAGCCAGCCTACCTGCTGACCTGGCTCATGCTCGCTCCCCACAACCAAGGAGGGAGAAAAATATATTCTTATCATTACATATACTTTTATTTTAACATTCACTGATAATTCCCTTGCAGCTCCTTCACTCATGATGTTTTTTAAATACAGCTGTTATCATTCTTTGAGTTACGTTTAGGTGGGTCTTTGGCAGGTGAACAGAAGGGTAGGAGTTCTGGTAGTGAGTAGTGATATTGTGAGGGTTCCGTACGGCGGCGGACCTCGCTATCAAGGAACTGCAATGAAGCTGTGAAGGTCAAGGTAAACATAGTGGGTCGCCCGCAGTGCCTCTATATGATCATGGACTTTATGTGGTTGAAAAAAGTACATTTTTATTACTGCTCTAGACGTAGATATCTTAGAGACACAGATGACAGTCAAGAAGCAACACCAGAATATAATACGTATAATATTATATTCACATATCATTATATTTATTAAAATATCAACACAAACAGATATAGTAAATGAGGCAGTCGCTCACTGTCCCAGGAGAAGGGGAGTTACAGGAGTGCATATTAACAGATTCTATTTGTTGTGAAAGCTTCCTCAAGGCCCAGTAGGTAGGGTGAGAGTGGCGTGGGACCTTACAGGCGTAGCTCCAGCAAGGTCACATGGTAAAGGTGAAAACCCAGGTGACGTCAGTTTCCTCGTGTCGTCTGCTCTATAATGAAACAGTTTACACATGTTTGAATCAGGAGACTTATTTTTGTGGTATTTTTATCGGTGTTGAAACCACTTGGCGTTCGTAAAGTACCTGACCGGGGTGAGAGAAAAACATAGAAGATAAGGATGAGGGAGAGGATGGAACTAAGGAGGAAAGGGAGGTGAGAGAATCAGACAGGAATGGATGTACAGACTTGGGATAAAGGAGAAATGCAGAAATACAGAGAGGAGGAGGAAGAGGAAGGCGGGGCGCACCGTCGCTGTAAAGACTCAACGGGGTCATCCTTCACAGGGGGGGACTTGGGATTTTGAGGAGCTAATGGTTGTTGAGGACGGGAGGGGAAACGTTTATTTGAGTGAGTAATAAAGTTAAAGAGCTGAACACAGAATTCGGTATACCTGCCAGGTTGTCTACACACATACTTGTGATTCTGAATAAATTAATGTGTTACAAAAACTCCAATTTATCTAGTTACATATTTCTTTGTCTATGAACACAAGTTTCATTTGGTATTGGTGGCTGAGAGAACAAATAAAAGCTTTAAGGTTTTGTTAATGAGGCCGTTGTGGATTGGTGTATCTCGTTGAGAGGTGAGCGGGGTTGACGAGTGAGGAGAGTTACTGTGGGAGGTTGAGGGCAGGCTGCACCATCTCGGCTGCGCCTTCTTCGGGGACTGATCGCTTGTACATGAACCGCTTGTCGTAACCGGAGCCGCTGATCCTGCTGTTGGCTCCTTCAGCTGTGCGCTCCAGCATCTGCAGGTAGATAGAGAGGGCGTCAGGGAATGTATGGACGAGATGACTTTGAGTATAGATGAACTCCATACAGGAACACACACACACACACACACACACACACACACACACAGCATCAATGAATAAACAAGAGGGATTATCCTGTTTGTGTACCTGTATATATGAACTCTGTACAAGATTACCAAAGGTGGGGCATGAATCAAGAAACCTGACTTGTGTGTGTGTGTGTGTGTGTGGGTGTGTGTGTGGAACAATCTCTTGGTTGGACTTGGTTCATAGAAGGGGGAAAAGTTGTAAAATAGAAGAAAAAATACGGTTGGCGGAATTTGATATATATATATATATATATATATATATATATATATATATATATATATATATATATATATATATATATATATATATATATATATTAAAGTCAGGTAGTTTTCATTTGTTATTAAACTCGATAAAAGCTGAGTTTTCTCCCTTTCTGAATTTTATATTTACCACGCGAAAGTCTGAAATAAAACGTACTCAGTAAATAAGTCAATACTCTGTACACAAGAAGCAGCAGCAGAGAGAGAGAGAGAGAGAGAGAGAGAGAGAGAGAGGGATACCACTACTCATTTGGCAAAGGTCTGGTAGGTTTTGGCTCCCCTCACCGTTAATTTGTATTCTTGGCTGATCAAACACCAAAACTTAGATTGTATTATCAAACTCCACATAACACAGGTGATGATACGCTGGTCTGCCACATTTTATTATTCGGTCCGACCATTTTGGGTTCGTTCTCATAACTTTGTCTGTAATATCATTTTTGGTTTTATCTGCTCACTTGTTATATATTTTTCACATTTGTTTTAAATTGTTTTGCGTGAAGGTTCTGTCAAAATTGTTGGTCTCGTTGCCTCCTGCATTATAAGATGTTTGTCACAAAACTTTAAAGAAATATTAGATCTGTGTGTGTGTGTGTGTGTGTGTGTGTGTGTGTGTGTGTGTGTGTGTGTGTGTGTGTGTGTGTGTGACTACTCTCCCCATATTATCAGTGACGATGTGAAAGTAGAGAATAAATTTAAAGTTCTGTTAGCCAACTACACACTCCCCAGTACCTCATATAGTACATATAGTTAAGAGAGACACAGCGAGGCTAAGGTGTCCTCGCTCCACCACCCACACGTGGAAATAATGAAAATGGTAAGGCCTTGTGGGTGATACATGTACCAAACAATATTTATTGAGGCCTTTGTGCACGTCGCTTCAAGGTTCTTATGAAAAAGTAAAACCTCTCTTGTTTACCTCCCGGACATGGCCACGCTATTGCCGTGTTCACTCTGGCATTCTGGAAATTTTACGCGCCTTCTTCACTAGGTGTGTTATCACGCCAGCACAGTGGACGCCGCTCAGTAAACAACTTCTCCAGTGGTTTCGTAAAAGAGGCCAGTTTTGAGTGGACGGCCGAGTCAGTAAAGGTGAGGTGGGGGGCTGACGTGGCCTGGTTCAACTAGTTACACCATACTCTGATCATCTCATACCGCTGAATGATCACGCCAGGATTTCGTTATTACCTGAAGAGCTGTTTAACCCAAATTTACTACTTTACAACCTAAAACATTACTTTACTTCACTTCAGACATTAAAGCATTTTTGTCCCTATCACGTGTGGCATTTGTACTTAACATGGGTGTAATGTTTAATGAAGTTTTGTTCATTTTGATAAACTGTATTTAGTAGTATTTATTTTTCGTAAGTAGTGTTTATAAATATTTAACGTAAATTCTATCGATAGTTTTCTAATAATTGTTGTGGTTAAACTAAGAAATATTTGCCAGTTCAGTAGTGTGCAGAGAGTCTGTGTGGAGAAGCTTAAGTTATAGCACTGTAACCATGAGTATGTAGCCTCATAGTGCACCATCTGGTCGTGTCATCGTGATAATTAGAACTCAACCTCCACATTCATAAATTATTTTAATCTTTCTATTATTATTATTATTATTATTATTATTATTATTATTATTATTATTATTTATTCCACTATTTGGTACAAAACATGGCATTAAATAGATACACATGCATATTGCCCCTGACTCAGTATAGGTGTGTCGACTGCTGTTCACTTCCTCACCGTTTGCCTCACTAAAAACAAGAGGACAAGTTATGGTGATGTGTGTATATTGCTGGCGGGTGATCAGATGAAGTGTGGTACAGTATATGACTTTCATGACACTCGTGGGATTCGGTTATGTTAGCTGCATGTTGAGTGGTGAGTTCGTTAGTGTCACCTGTTTTCTCCTGTGAATTCCTTGATATCAGTACGATTGTTTTTTCTGTCTTGTTGCCATTTATACACTAGTGAAATATAAAGGGTTATGTATTGAATATTTTTCGTTAAAGATAAGTGAATAAGTAGATATATGAATAAATGATATGTGGTAAAAACTAGTTAGGGTTAAGCTGATTCCCGGGGTCTGCTAGACTCAGGCTTCTCAAGAGTTGGTCTCATTTAGTTTCAAGTGGCGACACCAGTACTGAGACAACACTCATGGTTATATTTTAACAGACACTAGTGAGAGTAAAATAAGCTAGCTACGAGAGGGTCGGTCCATAGAACACCGTCATTAGAGTTTCATCTCTATCTAATGCAGCTGATCATATTCAGGCTGAAGCTGTAGTACTCTTACAGTAATGTTATAATACTTCGCAATAATCTCTTGGAAGACACAATATGAAGGAACTGTTTAAAAGGCAGAAGTTAGGTGAGACACAGTGTGGTAATGGCTGGGAGGTAGAGAGTTGCCGGGGCACGGAGGTGGATCACTGTGGCCACACTCGTACACACTCCACTCTGGCGCCACACCTCGGTATCTCACCTTATTGTTAGATTCAATAACTGGGACAACTGTTCACTGTCCACCTCGGGAGTTTATTTAAATGTTCTTAACTGATTCATTTGTCAGGAAAATAGTCAATAGTACAGTTTAATGATGCCCCAGTGTCGACTATATACTACAGTATATTATGTTGGCGATAGTTATTGAAAATTGGAAGGTTAGTTTCGCTCTTATTTTGTCTCACGCCAAATTAATTGCGTGACATTATAATAGACTGGCGTGAAGAAATTGGTAGATGAGGGGCCACAGAGCCACGATCTGCCTGTTAAGGGCTTTGGGGGGACTCAGGTTGGCTTAATGGGTGAGCGGGTGTGTGAGAGCCAGCTTACACAACGAGGGGCGCCGCGTCTCTCATCCTTTGATTTAAATTTTGATCTTCTCTTTTGTCTTAGTCCTCCATTTGTTTATCAATTAGAATTTTAATAATTTCTCCAGAGGGATATTTTTATATCTTATTTTAAAACTCTTAAGGAAACTGAGGTGGACACAGTTACCGTCAGCTGTTCTTATGATAACAAACTGTTACTGGATCTGACTTGTATTCAGTCCAGAAATAGAGACACATTCTCGTATATACCAAGACAATACTGCACATTTTGATAACCGAGTGTAAAAGTTTATCCTAAATGCCAAACAATCAGCCGGTACAATTTTTAAAAGTTAGCGCCGTGTATTGTAAAAGTGGACAATCTCACGAGGCTGCGGGCATGTCAGGGGTGTAGGCCAAGTCCCGGACACCACACATGATGGACATAATTTCTGGATCATGTTCTGTGTCGATTTTTTTATTTGTCAGTTTAAATAAGAAAATACATCAGTTGTGAAAAATAATTTAAATTACGCGGAACATTTCATTATATTTAAGGCTTCTACGCTAATGGTTCCACACACCATTAACACAAGCAGTGACTATCTGAAACCATATATAATTCTCAGAGGTGTTCTCAATTACGTTCCTAGAGACACTGTTAAACGTTTATTTGATTCTGTTTTAATGTATTTTTTTTTAATACTACTGAAATATGGTACCGGTAACAGAAGTAACATCGCCCAATGGAGGAGTCAACCAATCCAGTTTGATCCTCTCCACACCATGGCCTACCTTCTCTGTGGCTGAAACTGAAAGATTTATTTTTCCCCTTAACTTGTAATAAGAAGATGCATCGAGCCGAATAAGTTCAGCTACGACAAAAGGTAACGGTTAAAATGATATTGAAAGTGGACTAGAAATCAACAGGTGTCTTATACCCAGTACAGTATAGGAAAAAAATATTAAGTGTCTGAGTCAAGATCTGATGGAGGTCGATCGCATCTGGTAAAGTATATTTGCTATCGATTCTTTATCCAAGTATTCAGGATTAATTAATTTTAGAATGAAGCTTCGAACATAGTAACGCAGTTGATTTTTTTTTAATTGAATCTCTAAAATAGTTTCAGAACGGTTACACGTTAAGGTATCACTCCTATCACCCGTAGTTGAGACAATAAGTAATTAGGTAATCTTCTTGTTTACTTTCAACTCTCCAGGATGAAATACGTAAGAGAGCGCTGGTACCAAATTAACACTAGGTCCTGGGTTCTCTTAATATATGGTGTTTTGTCTCCTCCAGGGTGTCCAGCCAATGTAAAGACGGGAGAGAAGCCTGCTGGAGGTGTGGTGGGTGAGCACAATAAGGGCACGCAGACAGGAATGCAGCAGGAGGCGACTGAAGAGTGCAGACGTGTAGTGTGGTGGCGACGTCCGACACAAACAATGCGAAAACTCAACTCACATGAACCTTACCCTCTCCACCCTCACGTAAGCTGAATCTTCACTATTTATTTTTTCTCCTCCAATGTCAAGGGCTCGTAGAAGGGAAGCTCGAGTGTGTGTGTGTGTTGATATCATTAATACCTAACTTAGGGGGAATTATAGTAAAGCCATAGACCTAAAACGGGGGATTAGAATTAGCTTACAGAGGCTCTCCAACACCATTCTGTCTTTTCCTTCTTCCCTTATGAGTAGAGGGAGGAACCTGGCACTGTTAAAAGACATCACAGAACTGAAAACTGGAGATAAATAAAACAATGATAAGTGGGAATGGGAAATGTGGATAAAGTGAGAGAGAACAAGGATGGGAATTTATCACAACGGAAAGGTAATTTGTTATAACCAGTTGAGTACAATGTTATCGCACTGCAGGGAAGGGTTAAGACTTGATGTTCAGGGGATGAGGCCATAGTACTCAAGAGGTTAAGCCATCGTATTCAAGAGGTCAAGTCATCAGGTTCTTACTGAATGGGTTGAATTCTCTTATTGGTTAAATCCTTCTCATCAAGGGGTTAATGGTAACAAACCACTTCCTAGCGAAATGTGTCGTAATTATATGTGTGGTAAAGAAGCACCCGAGTCAAAAATTAAGATAAATTTACTAAAGACAGAATATAGTTACCAGTCATAAGGTTAATGTTGTGGTTAACTTATAGGAATTTAACAATGACTTGAGGTGGTGGGTGTTGCATGTGACGTGACACTATCTCTACTGTAGGAACTAGTCAGTGTGTGTGTGTGTGTGTGTGTGTGTGTGTGTGTGTGTGTGTGTGTGTGTGTGTGACTTACCTCTCTGAGCAGTTCTCTGATTTCGTCAAGGCGGGTGTCGTCTGCCCTGGTGGGGAGGTAGCGAGCTTGGGTGAGCGCGGCCGCCAGTACTACCAGCGCCACCACTACGACCAACCCAGTCCTCGTCATCTGTCCAAACAAAAACACCATGTATATTCCGTTGGGGACACCAATTTATTTTACACAAAAAATTATTATGATGAATATTTGCATGTTCTATCTATGTTCTTCTCATTACACACACACACACACACACACACACACACACACACACACACACACACACACACACACACACACACACACACACACACACACACACACACTCTTCATCTTGTAAAAAAATCCTATACAAATCTTGGGTTGGAGACAGCAGATTAATCCGTTTTCGGTATATGAGAAGCAGATTCCGGCACTGCACTCGACCACTCCTATGTATTTATTATATCTCCCTCCACTCTCCCTCATCCCTCTCACTCTGTTCCTTCTCCTCTCATCCCTCTCACTCTGTTCCTTCTCCTCTCATCCCTCTCACTCTGTTCCTTCTCCTCATTCCCCTCACTCTGTCCACTCCTTATCCCCTCTTCATTATTCTCATTCTTCGCACTCTTCCTCTTCTGTTGTTTCTCCATCTCTCACTCTTCCACTCCCTTATTCCTCCCACTCTGTCCACTCCCTCATCCCTCTCACTCTTTTCCTTGCCCCCCCTCTCACTCTCACTCGTAAATAGCGAGAGCCCTTAGACCATCAACAAGAAACACAATTCCCTGGTCCGTCTCTCTCCCTCCCTCCTCCCTCCCTCCTCCCTCCTTCTTCCTTCCTTCCATTGACCTTCTGTTTCCTTTTCTCCCCCCTTCCGTTACCCTCCTCTAGTCTCCCTCTCTTCCTTCCAATCTCCTAGTTCCTCTTATCCTTCTTCTTCCCTACTTCCTCCCCACTCCATAAAGTCACATCCCACTATTTCCTCCTCCTCCTCCTCCCTCTCTTTCCTCCATCTGCTTCCCTTTTCCCCTCTTTTTACCATCCCTCTACACTCCATTACCCTCCCCCATCTTCCTCTACTTTCATATATCTCCTCTCCTCTACTGCCTACTCCCACACCTTCTCTCCCTCCGCTCTTCTCTCTTCATTTTCCCCTCTCCTTCTCCCCCTTTCCTTCACCCTCCATTTCACTCCACTTCTCTCCTGCTCCATTTCTCCCCTTTCCTCTTCTTTCCTTCACTCCCCTTTCCCACTCCTCCCCTCCCCTCCTCTCCTGCTCCGCTTCTACTTCCTTTCCTCTCTCTCCTACCCCCTACCACCAGACAGTGGAGGGAAGCCACACGCCTAGTTTGGTCCATCGTCAACTCGAGAACCAGGTTATGGTGGAGTCTTTTCTCTTATGGAGTTTTGTGTGTGTGTGTGTCAGTCTGTCTGTCTGTCTGTCTGTTTGTATGTCTGTCTGTTTGTGTGTATGTGTGTTTATTTATGTGTGTATGTTTAATTGTTTGTTTGTCTACCCAGCAGTAAATTGGGAACCTGGATGTTAATCGATTTGCGGATCGTGTTCCGGGGTAATGGTTAGCCAGTGCAGTTGGCGAGTTGTCTGGTCTTCTCGGATTATACTTTGGCATTGGGTCATACAGCTCGTTAAGTTAGGGTGTGGTTGTTGTGTTGGCGGCAGCTTCTACACTTAAACAAATTCACGCTTAGGTGGCCCTTGGGCCGGCCAACCTTGGACACAAGGGGCAACCATTATTATTTATTTATGTGTGTGTGTGTGTGTGTGTGTGTGTGTGTGTGTGTGTGTGTGTGTGTGTTTGGTTTGCGGCTATGTTTGTTTGTGTGTAAATAAATGCACGCGTACATATGAGAATATAGGAGTAATATATATTATTACAGGGTGGATTCGGGATTAAACAACCGCACTGATGAAATGCTGGACGTGAGAGAGTCGGTCAGGGTCTGTAAACACGAAGGTTCTGCAACGTTAAAATTTAAGGCGTAATTTTAACACCATTGAGGACGTTGTTGCATTACATTATAGCTTAAAATCCGGTAATTCGATGCGTTCTTACATCTCCATATACAAGGATAATTTAACTCACGAACTCACGAGACTCTAACAACCACAATTGGGAAGAGTTGAGCATGGAAGAAGGGAACCAGCGTATGGGTTTAGTTATACATAGGGTGACCCACAGTCTCTGGTGCTCTCTTGTTTATCTTTCATCAGTAACAGAGAGGGGGAGAAGCCAAACTGAGAACACTGACGATTACATAGATTTACTGCCTAAAAAATGTCAAGAATATACATGAGAATACAGTTCGCGAGTCTTGTAATATATATAAAAAAAACATTGGTACAGTAAACTCGTCTTTTAATACATGAGAAGAGTCTAATTAAATATGAACACAGTAAACGAGTCTTGTAATAAAAACAAGACCTTATTATAACATGAAGAAAAGTTTATCCTCATTGGTGTATATACAGACAAAGCAAAGTTTTCACCCAACCAACTGTATAATTATGTATGAGAACGTGTATAGGGTGGGAAGTTAATTCATTCATGCCGCCTCTATACCCCTTGTTCATTTCCTGACCTAAACACCGGCCCATTTGCATCAACATCCATAAAAAACCCTACATGGACAGTCAGCATTTTATTATCGCTATGATCTCTCTCAGCCCTTGCTTGTAATTTTAAACTCTTCTGAGAATCATTGGCAATTTCGAGTTTTGTTTAGTGACGTGGTTCTTCAGTCAACATCAGGGTTGATTTTTAAGTAAACTGGAAACTGGACGAATAAACAGCTACACATTGTATCCGCGGTCTGTGTCATTCATTTATACGAAGTTTGCAAGTGGCTGAGCTAAAAGGCACGACAAAAGAAAAACAAAGACTGGACCTTCAGAATGACACACAGTTGATACCAAATTGTGTCCTGTTTTGTGTGCTTATTTAAGGAATGTCTCGTGTGTGTGTGTGTGTGTGTGTGTGTGTGTGTGTGTTTTAGGCCCAAATTGAACGCTTTTGATTTTCTCGCCTAGTCCAGCGTTCAATACTTCATATCCGTCTCCTACGTTGTCCAGCAGATGTGTAAACTGACTACCGTTAACCCAGGCTATACACGCTGACCTACTCCTCACCTCTTGAACAGCTACTTGCTCATCACCAGACACATTCCTTCACCAGACACAGACCTTCACCAGACACACATTCCTTCACAAAACACAGACAGACAGAATAAACCCGACAATGATGCCTCGTGAGTAAGTTTTTTTGTGGTCATAATATAGTCCAGTTCCCAGCCTTTGTTTACCTGTCATCTGTCTTCCCGTCATTGTGGTGGAGTTCCTATTGGGGAAATCTTGTTGCAGCCACATACTTCACCAGGTAATGTTGCGCGGCTTACGGAGGGACACACCTGGGTAGAGAGTCGGTGTTTCTGAAGCAGTTCGAATTCATTTCCAGTTCTACTCAGTTCACTTCACGAGATTAGTGTTGTTGTGGCTCAGGCGTGTTGTTTTTATTCCTGTTTATAATGTAATAGAGAGGAGACCGATACTGCAGTGATAGATAAGTGAACCTGTGTGACCGAGTATTATTGTTCATATTTACAAAGGTTAAATCCAGATCCCCTCTTGGCATTATTCCAAGGACGTCTTTATAATGTTTCTGTGATAAATCAGTGTTTCTTACGGTCGAGTGAAGATGAAGAGATGAGTTATGGATATTGCTTTTGACTCCCAGCCTCACCCTCGTGAACCTCTGTCAGGAATTTTATCTCACATTCTTGTATGAAAGATTAAATTTTTCTTAAGGGAATCTACCTGCAGTTGAGTGGTCACGTACAGTGTGTAAGACTAGTCTGTGCCATAAACACAAACATTACAACACAGGAAATACCAGTATATGAAATCCTAAAAACCTGTCGCTCTCTGTCAGACTTTATATCCCGTTAATTAACACACTCATATAATACGTTCCTTCTCCCTGTTAACACACCCATACAGTTACCCTCAGCACTGCGCTCTTGTTCATCACTATCAGACTACCCACACTGTACGATACTATCACCAGAGCCACATCCCTGATAGCCACCAGAGCCACATCCCTGATAGCCACCACAGCCACACCCCTAACAGCCACCACAGCCACACCATTGGCGAGCCTTCACAGCCTCTCTTCTTATGATGAAAAGCAAATCCGAGTTCCACTTCCTCTCTGGCCCGTCAGCGGCGGAGGAGGTGATGGTGGGAGGCGGCTCTTTGCTGTGTTGTATTGCTGTCACCTCTGAAGGGTCGGCTGTCACGCTGAGGTGTGTGGTGAGGCTGAGTAAGAACGCTTGAAGTTTGAGTGTGTGTGTGTGTGTGTGTGTGTCAGCGCTGCGGTGGGTGGTGGTGGTGGTGGTGGGTGGTGGTGTGGTGTGTGTGGTGTGGATTGGTGGTGGTGTAAGTGAGGTGTGGTCAGTGCAATAGCTTGTAGTAAGGGTGTGGTCAATGTGATAGCTTGTAATGAGGGTGTGGTCAATGTGATAGCTTATAATGAGGGTGTGATCAATGTGATAGCTTGTAGTAAGGGTGTGGTCAATGTGATAGCTTATAATGAGGGTGTGGTCAATGTGATAGCTTGTAGTAAGGGTGTGGTCAGTGTGATAGCTTATAATGAGGATGTGGTCAATGTGATAGCTTATAATGAGGATGTGGTCAATGTGATAGCTTGTAGTGAGGGTGTGGCGACAAGTCCTCCACCTCCTTCACTATCACTCATCACACGTTCCTCCCAACACTGTAACATAATCTACGTCTTAATTCAATATAATGACACAGAAACGTAATACTTCTGTAAATGTGTGTTATGGAATACGTAAATAACAACCTCCCTATACCCTGGGGGACGTCATCAGGGTATTGTCGTCAAGATGAGAGGCGGAGCAACACACAGGTGGTAGTTATGGCGTCGAAGAGAAACCAGATACACACTCCTCTATCATTACCACCGGCGTCTTGATGGTGGGGGGCTGTACTGTACGTATGGTCCCCCCCACCCCTATACACACACACACACACACACACACACACACACACACACACACACACACACACACACACGCACACACACACACACACTCACACACTTTAAAGC